GCTACAAAGCGGGTATAGCGCCATCTACGGTCACAAATTGTGATTCATTTTGGTTTATAAATTATTATTGCGATATACAGATCGGCAATCGTTTCTATAATGTACGTCGATGGTTGCTCAATTAAAACTGACTTCTTCTTACTCACTCATTTGTGTCCTTTATTGTGGTGAGCTACAGTGTCATTGACACTTTCATTTATTCATTGTTATCTATTTCTTGATGAGCTGCATCTTCCCTGCTAGACAGTAGATTTCCAACAGTTTCTACCCTGAAATGGGTTGCCTGCAATAGGTTCGGCCAAATTCCGTGACACTACTGCAGCTACCACGTCATGTTTTCCTCATTCGAGCAATGAGTTGATTCAATGTGAAGAATGCATGGGTCAGAATCTCCCCAGTTAGCATAATAAATTAATAGTTCATTGCATCATATAATATGGGCACGATATCTCACTAGATTTTCGCATTTGTAATTGATAACAGCGTGAACATACATATGTTATATCAGGAGTTAATAATGACTCTGGTTATATGTATATCCATATACGTAGTTTTGTGGTTGGCATTTATATATTACAATGCAGCATGCACGCATGAAATTGTAGTGTTTTTCGTCTGTATGACAGGACATGTCTCACAATCAGCTCAGCAGCATCCCTGATACAGTGAACGGTCTGACACATGTAACACGCCTGAGCGTCGCCCACAATAAATTGAAGGAGTTGGCACTAGGTGTCGCCTCTATGAATGGTAAGCAGACATTCTCTCAGATCCTTTCGTCGTTCCTCGTTGTTATTAATAATAAAATGAGTTATATATTGCAGCAGCTACCCAATGTGTTCAGCCATTTACAAGGCCATATTCTTGAACCTATCTCATTTCACAACCTTGGTAAGTTGGTTCAGTCCAGATTTGAGTAAATTCTGATTTTGGAAGGTAAAATCTATTTAGCCCGGTCTACATATAGTTTCAGTATCAGTGTAGTTACACATATTTTGCTCATGCAAGAAGTGAAATATGCTTTGAAAAATATAGTATTACTGCAAATAGCATACATTGTGTAATGTATATACACCTAATATTATATGCTGCTCTGGTATTTTGTTCAAAGTGATGTAACTTGAGAAACTGCTGATTAAATTTACATTGCGTGAGTTGCAGAATTGTTCTGGTTAATAAAAGTTGCTAGACCATGGAATTCCACAGAAAAGACGTTTGACTGTTGAACTTACTCAAATATTTAGCGATGAATCTGCAAAAATATTATCTGAATTTCAGTGGTAGTAGAACAATAATAGCATATTAATATTTGGCAGCACTAAGAATCATTGATGCCGCCCACAACCAGATAGTCAGCATTCCGGACGAAATAGGTTTTCTTCACAACTTGGAGCAGATTTTCCTCAGAGACAATCGCCTGACAGAACTACCCGTATTGAACGGCACAGCACTTAAAGTAAGTAACCCCGGGTAAAATGTTTCTCTTCTTGCAAGGGTGACCTTCCACAAATTCGGTATCCTCTTTACCACTGTACAGATCAATGTACGAATAGACTATGGTATCTGGTTGTTTTATTATTCTACCTTGACTGTTGAAGCCTTTTAATACTATCTGAGCATCTACGTTTTCAGTATATGAACAATCACTGTCCCCAACATAAATGGAGTATGACAGGTATACTTTTTTGGTATAATCTGGTTGTTGAGATTTTTGTGTGGTGTCGTCTCATAAAGATGAGCCAACCTCATATAATAGGTGTGTGTGTGATGTTTGCTGTTAAGAGCTGACTGACTCGCTGACTGGCTCATAGCTATATTATTTTCCCCACAGGAGCTACACTTAGGCAACAATAGAATTAAGATGTTGACATCGAAGCAACTTGAACAACTTCTTTCTGTCACCATACTGGACCTGAGAGACAATAAGATAACTGATCTCCCAGAAGAGATAACATTGCTCACCAGCCTGGAAAGACTCGATCTCACGAATAACGAACTAAAAACGTAAAGGTTTAAGCGTCTGAAAGGAATTTACCGATCTAGAGCTGTGATGCTTGGAACAGAAGCACGGGCTATTTGGCTACCAGTATTGCGTATTTTAAGTCAATTGTTTTCATAGCCACCAATACGTATATCTTTTTGTATCATAAATACATAGACCTTCATAATGTAGAGTGTGGATGGACATTAGTGGTAGAGATTTGTAGAGTCTGTGCATTTATTAATTGTGGTTATTGACACAAGTTGTCTTTTATTTCAGTCGTAGTATTGCATATCACACAGCATTCACAGGCACATCCATGTATGAGTATAAGTGTTTATGTGACCACTTGTCTCAGTGTGATTGATGTTATTCTCATTGTAATCGTGAGGAATAATTGCCAGCAGCAATTAATGATCTTAATTAAATTGGCTTCTAATGAGGACGAACACTTTTATCTTGACAGCATTCCCTACGAAGTTGGAAAAATGTCGAACTTGAAGTCGCTGCTCATAGAGGGCAATGCAGTCAGAAACATAAGGCGCGACATCATGCAGCGTGGAACGCCGGAACTGCTCCAGTTTCTCCGCAGCCGAATCCAAGAACCCGAGCCACCAGAGGGCGAACAGTTGTCGGAGGAATGCGCTCTACCTTGGGCGGACGACGCCTACCTAGCGAGGCAGACCAAGCACATGCTTAAGGTCACACATTGCCTAGATCACAGGTGAGGAGTGTACGCGTTTACACAGGTATGTTGTTTGACTGGCAAGTGCAAGTGAACATGCTATGATAAAATTTGAATTTTTGTTTGTTTGTGAATGTTCTTCGGATAATATTCGAATATTCTTTCTCTGTTTGTGAATGTCTTCAGATAAGATTTGAATCTTCGTTCCTTGACTAAGTGAAGGTTTGCATTTATAATCAGTTTTGATCGTACGAATTCATAATCTTCCCTTGAATGTTGTGTCTGTTTCTCGTATTCGCGTCGATTTTTGGTGGGGAGAGCGTGAATAGTTTTTGTTTTTGTTTCTTGCCAGCAACAAGCCTGCGACAGATGTTCCGGACGAGATGTGGGTCTCGGCGAAGGAAAGTGGAGTTCTAGCAGTGAACCTAAGCAAAAACAACTTGCAGGCGATTCCATCAAGGTGATAATCTCGTACTTCTGTTATCACAATAGACCCAACCACAACTTCCACATTTCAATCTTCGGAGGTCTAACACCTCTATGCACATGAAGTTTTTCTAGAGCAGAATACAACCACGCTAGCAGGTGTTTTACGTCTGTTATGTATACCATGTCTGGGTAATGCTGATAGTTAAAAAAACAGTCATAAAAATTAGTAGCACGTGTGTGTTCGGGTGCTGAAATTTTCATACACAAAATCAAGTCAATTTACATTTGGAACACCTCTAACTGTAGTATCAAACAAAACGACAGTGCCACAGTAGCTGTGCAACAGTGCAGTACATAGAAAGCATGAAGCTACCGTAGTTACATCTGGTTATTTCAGTATAACGATGCTGTCAGCTTCCCTGAACGAGGTGAATCTTGGAAGCAACAAACTCACCTCTGTAATGCCAGAGCTGTCCGTCTGCTGCAAGCTTATTGTGCTAGATCTGAGGTATGTAGAGGGATGCAAATATTACACAAAAGCTGGAATTCGAGTGGCAGTTGTGTCACTTTAGTTTGATCAACCTAATACGATTCATCTTGACCTTGCCCACATTGGAGGCGCCAGTGTTACGTACGGTATAGTTGTGATTCTGTATTTGTGTTAACGTATAAGTAAATGAATAAATACATGTGTAATATAGTTATATATGTCTGTTTATGTATTATATGCATATATAGAACATATGCATTCTATAATATTGCTATCAATATGTTTTAGGAACAACCAGCTGTCCAGTCTTCCCGACTCCTTGCAGTCATTGGTTGGCTTGAGAGACTTGAACATTTCCTTCAACAGGTAGATGTTACAAGTATACTCTGTGCATGCAACAAACAATATAGCCCATATATATCAGCTCGATGGTTTACTCTTATCACTGTGATGCATTGATTGTTTTAAATTTTTCGTTCGAGAATCGAAAATCGATTGTTGAGAATCTTATCACATGATATGTTAGAGTAATGACAGTTACCAAGCACTTATAATCAAGAATGTGTACATACTTGTGGGCACGTGTATGCATCATCGTTCACACCATCCACGATGACCTTACATATGAAAATCTTGGCACGTGCTGATCATGTGTTTAACTAATAATCAAGAATGTGTACATGCTTGTGGGCACGTGTATGCATCATCGTTCACACCATCCACGATGACCTTACATATGAAAATCTTATCGCGTGCTCATTGCGTGTTCATCGCCCGTGCTCAGGTTCAAGTCGCTGCCCAGTTGCATCTACAAGATGCGCTCACTCGAGAACCTCCTCGCTTCCGACAACGGCATCGGCGACTTGGACGCGCAGCAGCTGGGGGAGCTGAGCATGCTGGCTGTGCTCGACCTTCACAACAACTACCTTCAGAAGATCCCACCCGAAATCGGCCTGCTGGAAACGCTGAGGTAACGGCCACCCCCCCGCAGACATCGTCGTGGAAACCAGAGGCTGGCTGCGAAACGGACTGTTTGCAGTGTCGATCATAGTGTCTTAGCTTCGGTAGTTCCTTACTGGAACCTGCTCCCGTCGTCTATAGTAAACTGTGATATTGAAACCTTCTCCGCTGCTGTTTGCGGTGTTGATCTATCCACCTGGTCGGCCCCGCACCCTGTCATCGTTACAGTCCCTTGCACTGTGAAGAGTTACCATTACGAGTTTACGAGATTACAGCGTATAGATAGCGAAATTTATATCTTGGTATAACGCTAAAGCTAGGTAACTAGCAATCTGATCGACGTCCTTTAGACTCTGAAAAGTTATAATGACGAGATTAAAACATTTTCCGCGGTGATGCACACAGTGTGTAGCCACACTGGAGTTTTTGCGAGCGCTGCGTGACCTAGGGGGAAATCTTGAAAACGCCAAATTAGCAACGCGCACTAATCTACCTTACTTTCCAATTTACTTTTACCAGGGTATGATAAAACCCTATCGTGATTAGGTTCATGAGGTACAAAGATTTTTATGTGGCTTAAATATTAGGGTTCTGGAAAATGAACATTCTTAGTCCTAAAAAAGTTGGTAAAAATCTGTTTTCCTGTGGTCTATGAACACTGTACATTGCCAAAAATCAGACAGCTTTACTTTTCTCGCGGTAATGAGCATGGCACGAAACAATGCTGGTATTTTGGGGGGGATCGGCCTGAATCTCATGAAATATTCACGTGAAAAAACACTCCGTTGCAGAGTTCTGCAGATCGAGGGAAACTCGTTTCGAGTTCCGCGCCCCGCCATCATGGCGAAGGGTACGTCTGCCGTGATGGAATACCTACGCAGTCGCATACCAACCTAATCCGAGCTCAGGGAGCGCCATGAGGAGCGCGTGCCCTGATGGAGATATATTCCCGTCAAAGTAGAACTAGAAGGTGAGTGGGAAGGTCTATATATGGATTCAAGCGTCGTCTGAGTAATCACAAGTATACGTGCTAGGATGTATCAGGAATAAATAATCACAAATTTTGTCATAAAATTTGTGATCATTTACTCCTGATTGTATACTAGCTACTACCTCATGTAATGTGAGAGTGCAGAAGGAAGAACTTGCAGAAGGAAGAACTTGCAGACGTGTATAATTTTCTGACACAAAAACTGCCTTATAATATAGATTTTGTGCACGAGTAATTTGTCATTACCTCTGTGATTTTGTCTTTTGATGTATCGCATAATCTGATTTTGTGTGATTGTGTGTGAGATATATTGAGTGTAGATTGTGTGTGTAGTCTGATCTAAAATTCAAAATCGTAAAGGAAAATTGCTTGTTAATATATATTAATACACCGTGAGTTTCCACAGGTGCATAGCATGAGATTTGAAAATAATCGCAGGAGTTATTTATAGCATAAACCAATAAACCGTGTTGCGTTGATACCCGACTATAGCCAAGTGCACGCGCTAAAATCAACACGATCTGTTGGTGGCAGAATTCTGCTGAGATCTGTTGTATAACAGTGGTAGGTCCGATGAACTAGTTAATATCATACCGGTGTATTAATTACTCTTTGGCATGAATCGCATTTATGTTAAATGGGAGTCTGCTACTATCTATTAATATTATGGTGCCAAAGTGTGTTTATCGTTTTCACTTTTTTATTAATACCTAATTGTATACCTATAGTCTCCGGTTCTTTACTTCGAGTATTGCATGTTTTTCCATGCTGATCGATGATGCAAACTTGTAAATCTGTGCTACGTCGTGTTGTTTGTAAACAGACTAACAAGTGTTTACGAGTATATTATCGTGGAACTTAATTGTGTAATGTGTAATTTTTATTATCCACGATTTAAGTCCATATTCTCATGATATTTCGTTGAAAGAGAAAATTGATAGGATGTGCCCGAACAATCATTAAAAAAACAACAACGCTAACTTCTATTTTGGGCTGACAGTTCTATTTTGACAGTCACCAATATAAATGCAAAGCTATAAAATTAATAAATGATGATATGTGCAGCATAAAAAGTTTCCATTAATTATATAAATCTCTGATTTTCTATAGTGTCTCGTGTCATATTCTACACATCATCCTAGCCAGGAGATTACTATATTTACACTGACAATACTTAGACGTGCACACACGCAAAGCTAGCTATATTTCCCATCCACATATCGACATAATTATGTACAACCACAACTTGGAAAATGTCAAGCATTCATACGATCGAAAATGCACACAAATATAAACGTGTTAGTATACAATTCACTCAAACATCCAGAAAGGTCCCAAACGTCAAGAAAAAATTATGACTACAGCCCTCGACACTAACGGTTGTCCGATTGCCCGGGACAAGTGAAAGTCTATGTCGGACAAGTTATTCTCTTGCCTAGTTGCCCGATCGGACAACTGAAAAGTTCTAGTTGTTTAATATTCCTAACATCCTCTGAGCCAGGACGCTATCGCACCACATTCTCACTTCAAACGTTTTTAAAGGTCCCTGAAAAAAGCAGCCCGCGACACCCACTGTTACCATTACAGATTTATTCAGAGCGGCAGTGCATACCTCCCTGGCCAGGCCCTGGCCATTTATGTACTGGGGTGGGGGTACGATTGTTTATAAGTCGGTTGGGGCATATTCATTACTGAATATGTAGGGGGTGGGCATCGCTGGGATGAGAGGACGACAGCAAAACTCTTTCCTGTGATTGATTGAGGAAAAAGCTGCAATCGGTAATGACACACAATGAGCGTGCCAGCATGCAAACATAAACGTGTGAATTTCATTACGATTTTACTGTATTTACTCGTGTATAAGTATAATTCATGTATATTATAAGTTGCACCCCATATTTTGCATTGAAAAGTTCGTACAAAC